TTTTATTTTTCTTTATTTTTATTTATTATTCTATTTTCTTTAAATAAAAATCAAAATTTCCAAAAAAAATATTTTTAGGGAAAAGTTGAAAGTATCAATTTTCCTTAAAAAATAAATTTCAAAAAGGGTTTTTGAGGAAAAGTTGAAAGTATCAATTTTCCTTGAAAATCAAAATTTCCAAAAAAATATTTTTAGGGAAAAGTTGAAAGTATCAATTTTCCTTAAAAATAAATTTCCAAAAAAATATTTTTGGGGAAAAGTTGAAAGTATCAATTTTCCTTGAAAATCAAAATTTTCAAAAAAAATATTTTTAGGGAAAAGTTGAAAGTATCAATTTTCCTTGAAAATGACTTTCCAAAAAAATATTTTTGGGGAAAAGTTGAAAGTATTAATTTTCCCTACACAAGAACAAACATCCTTTCCTTCCCTTTTATTTTGATTTTTTTTCTTTAAATAATCCGATGACGGAGCCTCTGCAAGTGAAACAGTAGTTTTTCTTGCATACTCTTGAGGTGAGGGAATTTTCTCAATTTTCTGCTAAAAGTATTAGAGTTAATTGAGAATAATTTCCAACAATTAACTACTTGATAAAATTTTAAGGCTTTTTGGATAACACAAATTTAAGCTGGTACCATCTTTTGATAGGCGTTGTGAGGGTGTTATAACCTTTCTCACACGTAACCGAACTCCCGAACCCTGTTTTGATTTGTAGACCTGAACCTATTCTTTTAGGGACCCTTAAACTTAGGTGTTCCTTGAAAGGACAGATTCCTTAGGTGACCAATCGCACCTAGATAAAAAAAGATTGGTGACGACTCCCTAAAATCAATGTCTAGCGATAAATCTCCGGATCTAGACGTTATGACAAGTTACATCACATGTTGCTCTATTATCACGCTATAATGAATTGGTTGCTTTGATGAATAGCCCAAATTAAGTAATAGATGTCTTAGCTATAACGTTTCGCAAATCATGTTTTTTGTCAGATTTCATTTATCCAACTCTTTAATTGTAATATTCGAATAAATGAAGTCTTTGTTTGTTAAAATTGAAAGGTTAGGTAATAAATTGAACATTTCGCCAAACCCCAGGGACAAAAATGAGCATTTATCCATATGTAAAGATAATAATGTAATAAAATGTTAAGCACCTACTTATTTTGCTAGTAATTTATTTTATATTGATGATGGGATTGGAAATCTATTCTTTGAAGAAAAAAATCATCAATTATTAACAAAAATCAAGGATTTCTTGACTACTAATAATTGTTGATAAAGTTATGAGTACAAAAAATTATAATCATAATCAATTATTAAATCTATATAAAAATCACTAATTTAACTCAAACAAACAAATTAACTAATTAATCAACATATAACTAGAAAAATTCAACATAAAATTGGACTAAATCTATACATGATGGAACTTGAACTTGGAATCATAAAACATCATAACTTCATCCTTACTATTAAGTCAAAGCTTTAATGGTTGATCAAATAAATAAATCAACCGACAAATTTCAACATATAATTAGACAAATGCAATATAAAATTAAATTAAATCTATACATGATAAAACTTGAACTTAATACCTTAAAGTATGGTGATTTCTTCCTTACCCTTAAGCAAAACTTCAATTGAAAAATTAATTAAAGTATGCTAATTAGCATGCTCTTCAAGATCAAACAAACACCCACAGTTCCCTTCCTTTGAAATTTATTAGTCTACAGTCAGATTTGACATGAATTTAAAAATTAAGGTTATTATTATGAATGATCTTTAAATTATAATAAAATATTAATATGATATCTAAACTTTAAAAATTTTTATTATACTAATTAAATTATAAAAGTTATTAATTAATATAATATTCACCTTTAAAATGTGATTAGCTTCAAATGATAATAAATAACGGATAAATAGTCTTTCAAATACTTTATTAATTAATAAATTTATAATTCAAATATTACATTAAAAAATTTTAAAGTTCAGATATCATATTAAATAATTTAGTATAATTTATGAACTATTCGTGATATTAACCCTAAAAATAATGATTTTGTTGTGTTTTACTGTTTTACATTTGAAAATTTAATGAAAATTATAATAAGAATATCTAAACATTTTTTTGATAAATATAAATGATAGATGGGAGATTTTTTAGGTAAGAATTATTGACAAATTGATGATATATTCCTATTCCATCTTTGTCTATCTATTTGTTTTTATTTGTCAATTAAAAATATAATTAATTGTTTAGTTATATTCAAATTTGTTCATTGATTATTAAGTGATTTTTTATATATAAATATAATAATCAATTATGATTGTAATTTATCTTATACTCATAATTTCATACAAAAAAAAAAACCAAAAGTAAAAAGTACACTCAAAATTTTGTTTTTCAAATAAAAAATATTTATCTTATTTAAAAATATAACCAAAATTAGTTGTATTATCTTAAATATAATGCAAGTCAAGTAGATCAAATAAAATGAGACAGAATACTAATTTGTTTTCTAATCATATAAATATAAATATATATATATATATATTATATTGCAACATATATTATTAATCGATAAAATTTGTTGATGTGGATGTTTATGTAAATAGTTTTTTTTTACACGTAAAAAAATGACATATAAGATATTTACTAATCTTAAACTATTTATCAAAAATATATATTTAAAAATTGATTGAATTATCTAAAATTTTTAAAATTTAAATAAAAAACCAATTAAAGAATATGAAAAGATAAATATTTTAAATTTAAAAAAAGTGAAGAATCAAATTCAAGATCAAAATATTTACTAATTTTAAACTATTTATCAAAAATATATATTTACAAAATGATTAAATTATCTAAAATTTTTAAAATTTAAATAAAAAACCAATTAAAGAATATGAAAAGATAAATATTTTAAATTTAAAAAAAAGTGAAGAATCAAATTCAAGATCAAATCACGTAATAAAAATTTCAAACTCTAAAATCTCAAAAAAATATTTTTATCTTAATAATTTTCTTTATAATTTTTTTTATTTTTAAAATTCTTTACAATTTGAAATCACAATATCACTTACTATATTTTTTTAATTTGAAATATATTTTTCAATTGAAAAAAATATTTATATACTTTAATTTAAAAATTATCTATACATTCTAATTATCATTTAATAAGCCTATAAATATGTTACATTACTATTATTTTTTTAATCTGTAAATTTTCTCGCAAATAACTATGTAAATTTTTTCTCAAACTTGCTGCTATCTGCTCTAATTAAAATTTTACAATCCTCATTTATACTTCTATTTATCTGTCATTTAGAGATATTATCAAATTTTTGGTCCCATCATATTGATTCATTTATTAGCAACCAAAATTCTTCATTCAAACTTTCAGTCAATTTTTTTTTTTCGATATGTAGTTTTTTTGAACTACAATAGCAACTTTTTTTTCCTTCTTTTGGCCTATCTTTCTTTTCATATTATATCCTATTTTTCCAAGCCATCACCATTATGTATAATTTTTTTTCTGTTAATTAGGCACATCTTCCAATATTTTAAAATTAATATTTAACCACATTATAACTTTTTTTTAGGTACTTACCGTTAGTTTTTATCATTAGTTCTAAATTTTTACTCAATCAAATAAACATTTTGTTATCTCTCTTCCAAATCAGCTTTTTTTTTTTTTTTAAATTCATTGCAAATCGATTTAGAACCCATTTAAGATTACTCGCAATCATCGCAATTTATTTAATTTTGTTCAATTATATTTAAAATATTTAAAATAGTTTTACATGATAAGTGCATGGACTAATTATTATTTTGATAATACATTTTTTAAACATCTAGATATTCGTTTATATCTATTTATTAAATTTTCATTCTTTAAATAGATAAGAACATTGTTTAAAATTTATAACCTTTTTAAATATCCATCTAAATCCATTTTTTAAACTAATAAGAGCATGTTGAAAATCAAGAATTTTTTAAATAACTTTATAAATATCTCTACTTGATAACAAGAGTATGTTGAAGATCATGAGTTTTTTAAACATTATAGGTGTGTAAAAATAATCACATAAGATGAAAATGATGCAAATTAAAAAAATTAATTTAAAGTGATAAAATTTTTGTTTTTTTAATATTTTATTGATTTACTTAATAATATTATTTATAGTAATTTTAAATTTTGTCAAATTTTTAATTAAAAATTTTAATTTTATTATGATTTGATATTTTAATTATATCATATGTATTTTACATCTATTTTAAGTGTAATTAAATAATATTAATTCATATTTTAATATAATTAAATAAATAAAAATAATTCGTATATCGCGCAAATAACAAACTAGTCAAAGTAAAAATTCTATAGAAGTTAGATATCTAGCGAATTGTTTTGTAGGCAAAAACACTAAAAATAGTTTCGAGGAATGTTGCTGAAAAATGGGCAATGTGCCAATGTCCTTTGTTCCTACAACTATGCACATCTGGCATCCCAACTGTCTTAACTCAAAGGTTACCCATAAAACTTAATGAACTTTCTCTTTTCATAACTGCCACACATGATGCACCTTGTCCATTATCCCTCAGATACGCAACAACAAACTCTTATTGTAATATTTAAACATTTGAAATGGATATTAGGTAGGTTCCATAATTTATGTATTTCTTAGGATATAAAATATTAATAATTTATATGTTTATATAAAAATTATATATTATAATTCGTATAAAAATATAAAATATATTTTTTGATTTTATTAAATTTATATATAATTTTTATTAAAATTTTAAATTATATTATTTTTTTATTATTTTTATATCATATCATCATGTTATATTTTAAATAATTAAATTTAATTCTATGCATATAATTATTCAAATTCATAATCTACAAATAATAACTCTAATCAGATATTATCTTATCCAAATTTAAATGGCAATAAATAGATTCGTTTAGATATAATAAAAAGAGCTTTCTTTTTCTTTTTCTTGGTTTCCTTGCAACAGCAGGACTTTGTCCTGTCTGCTTACATTTCTCGAAGATGAGTTTATGACAGGTAGATTCAAAAGTTAAACAGCAAAAGCTTTGAAGAGGGAAAACAAGTTTCACTTATTAGTCCCTCCATCTCAAAAATCTCTCTCCTTCTCTCTTTATCTTAGTGGAGACATGAATCTTCTCTGTCTATTACTACCCATGTGGGAATGTACCTTCTCTTTGTTGGCACTCGTAATTCTTACCAGACCAGAGTCAACTGTTTCCTCCATTTGTGCTTCTGTTCTTCATTCTAAACAAAAACCTATTTCTCAATTTTCTTCAGAAATGGAAGCTGTTTCTCCAGGTATTTCAACTCTACATTTATTTTTGGCATTTTGCTGGTTCTGTTCTTCATTTCTCTTAAGTGGGGTCGTTTTGTTTTCTAGCTTTAGCTGATCAAATGGTCTAGATTTCTGCGTTGCTCTAATATCATTATGTTTTTCTCGTTTACGAGGATTTGCCACATTTTCTGCAGTGTTTGTATTAGGATTCAGACCATTTGAATTTCAATAGTTGGTCGTGTTAGGGATAACTGCTAGCTCCAAATGTAACTTATTTGGTTTAAGAAAACAGGCAATTTGTTCTTTTTTCTTCAATAAACTGAAACAATGAGGTATAATGTTTGAGATATGTCTATGTTTTCCCCTTAGTTTTCTAAAAGTGGCCTCTGATTCGTAGATCAAAATGACATTAATGTTTGTCAATTGAAATGGCAGTTGTTTTCCAAGTCCAGATTTTTGTGCTCTATTTCTAAGAGTTGTTCTTTTTTTTATTATTATTATTAATATAGTTTCTTCTGCAAACAAAAACTTGGTTTTTTTTTTTTTTTTTTTTTGCTCCTTTTAATTATAGCTATGCTAATTTTGATTTGGTTTTACAAGTCAGTAAATAATGTTAACCATGTATGGCAAAGCAGGAGTGGCTGTGGTTAGAGTAATGCACCACCAGGATCTGAACTGGAGAATTCTTGTAGCTTTAATTGTTGCCTCCACTCTCCTTGGTGGAATATTGCTCTTTTTGTTATGTTTCTGGATCTGTAGACAGAAAAACTTGAAGAATTCCAATGCAAAAAGCAAACAAAACTTTGGTATCTTTTCTTCTCACTCAATCACCTTAGTTCTGGTTTCTAAGTTATCTTCTTGAGAACAAAAGTATGCTTGGTTATGTTTCTTTAACTTTGTTGTTTATTTTTCTTTTAACATGCAATCTGAAGAACCTACAAAAGCACTTTCATTGAGTCCAATTGCGGATCGGTTTAATTTCTTATGGATGGCTGCCAAAAAGGGTTCTGTAGCTGTTATTGAATATCAGTTATTGGAAGCCGCAACAAACAATTTCCGGGAAAGTAATGTTTTGGTTCAAGGTGGTCGTGGACGCATCTACAGAGCTTGTTTTGATGAGAAATATCTTGCTGCTGTGAAAAAACTTGATGGTGGAGGACAAGATGCTGAAAGAGAATTTGAGGTAATGTTTTCTGCTTGACTAGTGATATTGATTTGGACATCTAGTCTTTGGCATTTGATATCTTTCCCGGCTTTCCTTGTTCAATAGTCATTTCATGTGCAGAATGAGGTCAACTGGCTGGTCAAAATCCAGCATCAGAATATTGTTTCACTATTGGGTTGCTGTATCAATGGTGAAACCAGGTTACTTGTATATGAAATGATGCAAAATGGTTCTTTGGAAAGTCAATTGCATGGTATAAACTCTTTTCTTTATTCTAAAGTAATAAAGAATAAAGTGAAAGTTAGTGGAAGATGCTAAAATATATCTTATGATATAATTTATTGATTTCATTTTGGGCATTGTAGGACCTACTCAAGGATCAACTTTAACCTGGCATCTACGAATGAAAATTGCAATCGATGTTGCAAGGTGAGTGACATAGCCAATTATGTTCTATTTTCTTGTTAATATGGTTCTAAATGTTGTCATTGATATCTAATAGAGCATTAGATTATCTTCATGAGCAATGCAATCCGCCTGTTGTCCATAGAGACATAAAGTCATCTAACATTCTTTTGGATTCCAACTACGATGCTAAGGTAAAATTATGTATGACACTATGGCTGATGAACTTTCTTGTCTGTATGCACCTTTGTTGAAATGTTAACTAGACTGTTTCCCTCGACAATCTTTTTGTTGATTCAGCTGTCCGACTTTGGGCTTGCTCTGACCACTGGATCCCAGAACAAAAATGTAAAGTTGTCAGGAACATTGGGCTATGTAGCTCCAGAGTACCTCTTAGAGGGTAAGCCAAAGTTCTTTGTAGTTAATGCATAAGCAAGTCTGGATAAGATCTGATGCATTTTCTGGTGAAATTCATCTTTTCTCAAAACAAAATACTTAAAATGAGGATGTATATTTCTTTTTAACTTCTTGAATATTTTTCTTTTGGTGAAATTTGTTACTTCTTTCTTTTCACTTCAGTTTCTGAAGAGTTCATGCTGTTGTATCCTGTGGTTTTATTTTATCTTGTTGGCTTGTTGCCTTTTGACTTTGAATTGTGCTAGCTACGGCCGATGTATCTTTCTGGAGTAATATTACATGAACATCATTTGAATAAACCATAGAGTTTGCTGTCAGAGTTTCCAAACTTATCTGTCTGCTGTGGAATATTTTTGCAGATGATATTTTATTGCAATTGTATGCTGAATCTAAATTCATAAGACCGTAGCTTATCAATTAGGCCAGTAGTCTTATGAATGGGATTCATGAAGTCCTTGAACAAATGCAGATCTCCTGAAAGTGAAGGAGACATTTTGTTAAAAATAAATTAATTCCCCCACCCCGGCCTCAACCAAATGATAATTGTCTTCAGAGATTTTTTAGTGCCAAATTTAGTCTCATTTATAATTTGAGCAATGACAGCATTGCTTCTCAGGTAAATTGACCGATAAAAGTGACGTATATGCTTTTGGAGTCGTCCTTCTGGAGTTGCTAATTAGAAAGAAACCACTGGAGAAAATGTCATCAGCTCAGTGCCAATCTCTTGTCACATGGGTAATTTCTTTCAAACCAACTCAAGGAGGTCCAGTCATGGTTTAATTGTAGCTTGAACTTAGTTTATTTACAATTTTCACAGGCCATGCCTCAGCTTACTGACAGATCAAAACTTCCAAACATAGTGGATCCAGTAATAAGGGATACAATGGATTTAAAGCACCTATATCAGGTAAATGAAAAAAAATATTTTATCTGTGTTGTCATGCGCCCTTGTTCTGGTTATAAATTTGTATTGTATCTCATGCTGAATAGGTTGCTGCTGTTGCTGTGCTGTGCATACAACCTGAACCAAGTTATAGGCCACTGATAACTGATGTCCTGCATTCTCTCATCCCTCTTGTACCTATGGAACTTGGAGGTTCATTAAGAGTTACATAGCCTGTCCCTCCACTCCGGCCCCTCTTTTGTGTTGATTATACAAATTGGAACTTGTGACCACGATCTCTTGACATTGTCTTGCACCTGATCCATCTTCTTTTCTACAAGATTGCATTGATAGCTTGCCTTCTTATGTGCTACTCATTCTTTTCCACATGAACCTTTCCTCTGGGGACCTGATGCAATTTAATTATGGCATGGAGGTGCTTTTTTGGTTTGTTTTTGATGTAAAGTGATGTAAAATTGATATTTTCAAATGTCTTTGACACATCTTTCTAGTACAGATATTCAACACAATTCCTTTCATACAGCCACTTCAGTAAGAAAGTTACTTTCCATCATCTGTAGTATTGTGATCATAGAGAAGGAAAAAAAAAAGAATATGAAATTCTAGATGTAATCTAAATTAATCATATGCAAATTGCAAGGATTATCCTCGTAACCTTCTACTATTGATATGTCAAAGACGACATAATTTATCAACAACCGTGTGATTTGTTGACAGACTTGAGGTTGATGTTATCTGGTTTATATCCAATTGGATATGCAAATTCCTGAAGTTGATTGACTTTCATAACATGACTAACGGCTTTAGGGTTCGTTTGGAAGCAAAGCGTACTCCTAGTGAGGCTATTGTTTGCTTCAAAAACGTGTGAAATGCGTTCAAATCTCAATTAGATTTCATCGCGCTATGTCAAAGTGCAGCTGTTTGTTAAACTTAGATTAGTAAATCTCGCAAACTTATCAATCCCAAAAAGATGGTGTCTCGAAGATCTTTCAAGTACTTCTGAAAAACAGCAATTTTCAAGTTTAGAATTTTTTTCATCAGGAAAAAATCTTTATTTTAAAAACCTAAATGAATCAACCAGTTTTAATCCAAACCTGGTTTTACCCCCAGTAAATGTTTTTGAACATCAAACAGATGATATTGAGAGTATAACTAGTAATCAATCTTTTTGTACTCCATATCGAAGTTCTTTTTCAGGATTTCAAGGTACCAACAATACAGAAACCCTCAGACGAGCAAATAGTATGCGCCAATCAAGTACTACTGATACTGCTCAAATTCCTTTTTTTGTCGGATACGGTATCAAATTCCCAGATTTGGTAGGGTTGGTAAAATCTTTCTCGTTGAAAGGTACCTAAAAAACTGTATATAGTAAAATGAACGTAAAAAAGGTGTTTTGACCATTTTATACATTCAATAAAATGGTGCTTTTATAAAAGCTGAAAAATCTTTTAAAAGTTGAAAAGAATAATTTTGTACAGTTATTTGTCCAACTAAACGAAGTTCAATACTTTTTATATCAAAACTTTCGTGGTCAAGTCGAAACTTTAGTTTAGGTATGTACTCACCAAAAGATGTATTATACATATAAGTAGAAATATAATAATATGAAAACCTTTCAACCAACAGTTTTTTCTGTTGACTGTAAAATAGAAGAATTAAATTGTTGAAATAATTCTTGGGTTAAGAATACCGTAGCTTTTTCGAAGAGAAGAATTCTTTTAAGCTTGTTTAGCTTAGAAGAAATAAAATTATCTTTCTCAAAATATTCACATAAATTCAAGAAATTATTTATCTCTTGAAGACTGTAATGATTTTCTTCCAAAGCAAAGAAATCAATATCTTGCTGTTTTAGCAGATTTGTTGATAGAAGACTTTGGAAAGCTATTTCTTTAAAATTTTGAAATTCTTTAGCTTGTTTGACTAAGAACTCAGCTAAGTTGGTTATCCCTTTTCGAAAGTTAGTTTTGTTTTCTGAGAGATGGGATTTCCAAACTTTGTTTAACAAATTATAGACTTGTGGTTCAAGTCCAGGATTGTAAAAATCTTTTATCTCTGGGTTAGAGAATTTTGTTCGTTCCAACAGTTGTTCTGTGGAAGAAACTATTTGAGAATAACTCATAGGAGTCCAGTCGTTTGGATCCTGAGCAAACTGTGAGTATTCGGGTTGAATTCTCATGAAAGGGGGTCGATAAAGAGGTTGTTGGTAGAGATATAATCCTTGGTTAGGATTATTGTAAAAGTTAAATCCTTGGTTAGGATTTGTAGAGATCTGGGGTCTCGGAGAAGAAAGAGTAGAAGAAGAAGAAGAAGAAGAGGATTTTTTACCTGGTTTCTTCTTTACAGTTCTCCATCCACCAGTATCATGGATTGGGTGTTTTCTTCGATCCATGAGGTCTGCTTAGGAAGTCTGCAAGGAGATTTTTGTCTCCATTGATGAACTTTACCTGAAAATGATAAGAACAAAGAAAATTGTACCACCTAATCCGCCTGGGATTATCAAAAAGCTTTCTATTTTGGAGAAAGTTTTTGACTACTTGGTTATCTGTTTGGATAACAAAGAACTCCGGGGCTAAATAGATGTGGAATCGTTGTACACCATTTTTTATGGCTAATAATTCCTTTTCAAATATAATATAATTTATTTCGTTCGGTTTGAACTTACCAGAATTATATCCACAAATCAATTCATCTTTTTGATGAAGATTTTTTATTTTTAAGACACATCGCCAATGTTCATTACTGGCATCTGTCTCTAAAATTAACAGGTCACCTTGTTTAGGTAAATAGATCTTAGGTATAGTAGTTAAATCTAATTTGATATGTTTGACAATATTAGAATCGTTAGGTGTCCAGACAAAATCATTATCTTTACGTAATTTACGCAAAAGATAGCTTTTCTTTTTGGAAAGGTTTTTGAAAAATTACCTGTAATAATTAAGTATACCTAACAGCTGTTGTAGCTATTTGACGTTTTCTAGTTCTTCTGGAAAGTCTCTGATCTTGGAGATAATGTGATCCTGTAGGGTTAGTCTGTTTGCAGAAAGATTAAGACCAAGAAATTTAATTTCGGTTTTTTCAAGTTCAACCTTTTTGGGACTTAAAATAATACCATGTAAAATAAATTCTTGAGCAATAAGTTCAGGTGTTTCCTGTGCTCATCTAGAGTATTAGAAAAAATTAAAATATCATCAATATATACACAGCAAAATTATTTATGTTTGCTAAAAATACTGTCCATTCAACGCTGAAAGATTTGAGGTGCGTTGCATAGACCGAAAGGCATAACAGTCCATTGGTAATGGCCTGCTGGTGCACTAAAAGCAGTAAGGGGTTTAGAGGTTTCATTTAGCATGATTTGCCAAAAACTTGACTTACAATCAAATTTAGAAAAATATTTAGCATTTTTTGCTAAATTAATTAAAACATCTTTACGAGGGATAAAATAGCCATCAAAAACAAGATTTTGGTTTAATTTCTTGTAATTAATAACCATACGAGGTTTACCTCATTTAATCTCAGAATGGTTTCTTACCGTGAATGCTAGACTGGAGTGTGGATTGGTAGTTGGTTCTATCAGACCTTTGTCGAGCAATTCTGAAATTTGAACTTCAAATTCATCTATATCCTGTTTGGTATAGATCATTGGTTTTACTTGAATAATCTTTTTTGAAGACTGAAGAGTAAGTTCACAGTATCTTGGACTGCACTTCCAAAGCTTCAATGGGTCTTCACTGAAGTTTTCCTGTAAAATTCTATAAAGCCAATGTTTTTCATTAATAGCTTTAAGTTCAGGAATATGGGTTATTTCTGGTTGAAAACCATTATCACAAACATGATTGTGCTTGGATAATAAAGGAACATCTATTAATTTTTTATCAATAGTAAAAACAAGATAATCAGAAAAAATTGAAAAAGGTAAATATTTATGTATAAAATTATTTCCTAATAATATATCTTTATGCATATTAGGAAAACATAATATTTTAGGAATAACGAATTTTATATCGTTTAAGGCAACAGGTATATTTTTTGCCTTTAGGTTAACAATGGTTTCTTTACCATCGATACCTACTATTATTATAGGATGCTTCATGGGTTGCCATTTTATTGACGGCAAAGCATTAGGTCGACAGCTAGAGATTATTGCTCCTGTGTCAATCAGAATATTCAAACTATAGGGTTTATAGTTTTGAAAATAAAAATAACCTTCAACATAAGTATAATATCTTACCTTGTTAGCAAAAGATATTATTTCATTAGAAATACGAAAATTATTTATAGAATGAAACATTTTAATATCTTCATTTTTAGTTTTTCTAGAAAAAGAAGTATGTGAGTTAATCACAGAATTAACAGAATGATAATGGGTTTGATTATCAACTGTACCTTACTGAGATGGATTATCTCAGGCAAAAATAAGAATTTGAGCAGTATTAGTAGTACCTAATTGGCGCATACTATTTGCTCGTCTGAGGGTTTCTGTACTGTTGGTACCTTGAAATCCTGAAAAAGAACTTCGATATGGAGTACAAAAAGATTGATTACTAGTTATACTCTCAATATCATCATCTGTTTGATGTTCAAAAACATTTACTGGGGGTAAAACTAGGTTTGGATTAAACTTGGTTGATTCATTTGGGTTTTTAAAGTAAAGATTTTTTCCTGATGAGAAAAATTCTACACTTGAAACTTATTGTTTTTCAGAAGTACTTGAAAGATCTTCGAGACACCATCCTTTTGGGATTGATAAGTCTGCGAGGTTTACTAATCTAGGTTTAATTTCTGAATTAAAAGTGTTTGGTTCAAAAATTTCAATAATATTAGAATCTATCGATTTGATAGAAGTATTAGTAGTATTTGTAAATTCATAAATCATTGACCAGTTGATTGAAAGATCATGCGAGGTCGATTCGAAATCAGAATTGAGTATTTTGATTTGATGACATAAACATTTGTCAATATTTTCATCAAAAATAGAAATAAAATAGTTTGGTTTAACTTTAAATAAAACTACTCCTGCTGCTAAATTGGATTGGATTCCTCCGATTATAGCATTTGCAAGGTTTTGAAAATGGTGGTCCATTAAAATAGCTATTATTGGAATATCTTTTGTGGATAAAAATA